TTTATGTGGTGCAGAGGATAAACCCAGGGCCCCCACATGTGCGAGGCAAGTGATCTACAGCTGAGCCACAACCCCAGCCCAGATTCTTCATTTTAAACAAAATAGTTGGTTTGTTTATTTATTTATATTGATTCTTTTTAGCTATACATTACATTAGGATTCACTTTGACATAATTCATTTTGACATAATTATAGGCACAGAATATAATTTGTTCTAATTCAGTCCCCAGTACTTCTCCTTTCCCATCCCTCTTCTCTCCCCTATTTCCTTCCCCCTATTGAGCTTTTGCTATTTACTTTTAGTTTACAGGTTTTTTGTTTGTTTGTTTTGTAGCTGATATCTTATAGGTATACATGATGGTGAAATTCACAGTGGTTTATTCATATATGTACATACAAAACTTAGGTCAGATTCATTTTTCTGTTTTTGCCTTATCCTATCCCCTCCTCTCCCTCCCCTTCAGTCCCCTTCATCTAATCCACTGATCTTCTATCTTGATGAAACATCCCCTTTCCCCTTTCTCTCTGGTTATTTTTTTTTAAATTGGAGACCTTGTGTTTATTGTTAGTATGTAGAAATGCAATTGATTTTTTGTTTGTTTTGCATCCTAGAGCCTTGATGAACTCACTTATAATTTCTAGGATAAATTTTTGTTTGTTTTGTAAATTGCTTGAAATCTTCTACATAAACAATCATGTCAAGTATAAAGGGAGACAGTTTTCTTTCTTGCTCTATGATCAGTTTGCACTCTATTTTCTTTTCTTGCCTTATTTCATTGACTACAAACTCCAGCCCTCTCTTCCCAATTTAGTGGGGAAGTATTCAGTATCTCACTACTGCGTGTAATGTTGGCGGTAGGTTTGTTTTTTGCTTTTGTTTTTGTTTTTTGGTAGATGCTCTTTTTCTAGTTGAGGAAGTGCCCCTCTATTACTATTTTACTGAGTGCTTTTTATGTGATTGGGTAATGGATTTTTGCCAAATGTTTTTCTGCATTAATCAATATGTTAATCAGCTTTTAGTCACCGTGACAAAATATCTGAGAAAAACAACTTATAGGAGGAATGTTTCATTTTAGCTCATGGTTTCAAAGATTTCAGTTCATGATCAGCTGGTTCCAAGACAGAAATATCATGATATAAGTTTATGGTGACAGAAAGCTCTTCTCTTCCTGCTTTTAGAGAAAAAGGGGCCAAGGACAAGATATAGTCCCCAAGAGCACACTTTCAAAAACTCAGTCCTTTCACCTAGGCCCTACCTTCTATAATTTCCACCACTTTCCAATAGTTCACTCAAATTATTAATCAATCAAATGGATTAATCCATCAATGAGGTTATGGGCTTCATGATCCAATCATTTCCTAAAAGCCCCAACTCTGAATATTGTTGAACTGGGCATGAGTCTTTGGGGGACACTTTATATACAAACTATAACATTCGATATAATCATAGGATTTTCCTCCTTAACCTATTAATACAGTTGATTACCTCAGTTGATTTTTTAAATACCTTTATTTAATTTATTTTTTTATGTGGTGCTGAGGATTGAACCCAGGACCTTGCACATGCTAGGTAAGCACTCTACTGCTGAGCCACAACCACAGCCCTCAACTGATTTTTGAATGTTGGACCAGACTGGAATAAGAGCTACTTGATCATGTTGTGTAATTCTTGTTATATAATTACACTTACCATACTGTCACCAGCTGGTTGGGCTGGTGAGATGAGCTGGGTTCAAAGGAGCTGGCTGTATTAATAACTAAGAAAATGGTAAAGAAACCACGCAGCCCATGAACATGAGTTTCTAAGAATGAGGGCAGGACAGCTTGGTGACCCCAAGGGTCAGCTCCACACTGGGCAATGCTGGAAAGAGCAAGAGAGCGAGCACATTGGACAACCCCCCCCCCTATTTATTGGGGATAAGACATTCAATAGACTATTTCACCCAAATAAGGTAAGGGGTAGGGTTTTGAAGGGTGGAGTCTTGCTTGGTGATGTCTTGTGGTAAGCAGATTGATTGACATCTTGGCAAGTCACACCCATCTCTAGCGCTGATTGGGCTTGTGCAACGCAAAATGGAAAGGCACATTTGCATTGCACAAGCCCAATCAGTGCCCAACGCCAGACCAGTCCCCTCATACGCTCAAATGCTCATAGCTCACACACAGAGCCCAGGTATGGCTCGTGATACCATACTGTTTAGGGTTTTTGCATCTGTATTTATGAGGAATGTTGGTATACAGTTTACTTCTTTGTAATTTTTTTCCTGATTTTTGTATCAGGGTCATAATAGTTTCATTAAATGAATTGGGAAATATCACCTGTTCTATTTCCTGGAAAATATTGGGTAAATTGTTTTTCATTCTTTAAAAATTTGGTAAAATTTTCTAGTAAAACCTGGAGGGTTCTTTTTTTGAGGGGAGTTTTTAAATTATAAATTTATTTAGGTCACAGTTATGGAACTATTCAATTATCTATTTCATATTGGATAAATTCTGGTAACTTGTGTTTTTTGAGATATTTGTCCATTCGATATATGTTAACAAATCTATATGAGAAGAGTTGATTTTTATAGGGTTAGCAGAGACAGTCACTGTTTCATTCCTGATATTGGTAGCATATGTTCCCCCACTTTTTTTCCTTAGTCATGTCTGCTGTGAAATCTGCTGCTAGTTTAATGGGGGTTCCATCAAATGTGACTTTCCTCTTGCAGTTTTTAGAAGTTTACCTAATATGCTATGGTGAGAACCTTGCTGAGTCAAATCTATTTGGGATCCTTTGGGAACTTCTGGACCTGGATGTCCATATCTTTCCCACGATCAGGAAAGTTTTCAGCTAGTGTTTCATGGAATAAGTTTTCTATGGCTCTTCCCCCTTCTTAACTTCTAGGACCCTTGCAATTCAATCATCTTTTTCATTTAGTTGTTTTATAACTCTTGGAGGTTTTCTTCACTATTTTTATTTTTATGTCTGTCTGTCTGTCTGAGACATTTCAAAAGGCCTGTTTTTAAATTTAGAAATTCTTTCTTCTGCTTGATCTAGACTGTTGTTGAGACTCTCAACTGTAATTTTTTTTACTTATTGAGTTCTTTAGTTACAAAATTTCTGTATGATTCCTTATCATGATCACTATTTGCTGAATTTCTTATTCATATCAAGATTTTTTTCCCTAAATTTGTTGGTTTATATTCTCTTTCATCTCCTTGAGTTTCCTTAGAATAATCCTTTTGAATTCTTTAGCAGGCATTTTGTCAATATCTTTTTCCTTTGGTGTCTGTGGCTAAAGAATTGTTGCATCTTGTTACCTTGCTTTTTCTTATTTATTGTGTCCCTACATTAATATTTGTGCATCTGGTGCATCAGTTGTTTCTAACAGTGTTATATAAAATGGCTACAAAATGACCTCCCTTGAAGTTGTGTCTAAGTGCATCAATTTGGTAGGTTACATGGATGTTGATTGCATTTGGATGCCATAGTGTACTCAATCTAAATGTTTTTCAGTTGTAAAGTGACTTTGGGCACTGCCAGCAGCAGTGGAGTGTTCAGTACACAATCTCAAACTCAAGCTTGGACCATGATGGTGGGCATGTGTCGTGAATGTCCCTGCAGGCCCAACAGTGGTACATGAGCTGACAGTAGCAGCAGGTGGTCAGGGATGGAGGTGGGGAACAGGTCTCAGGTCCCAGTGGCAAGTACCTGTGTTTATCAGGTCATGGGAGTGGCACCCCTTACCAGGCACAGCCACCTTTCCTCTCTGGTGTAGCATACTGTGTGGGATGCTCTGGTCACAGTTGAGCTTCTGGGTCTAGTTGGGTTCCTGGGACTGCAGCCTTTTGTGCAGTGTGGGGGAATGTTGGTGAGATTCTAAGAATGTGAATATGCAGAGATTCATAAGGCAGTATGTGGTTCCATTCTGAAAAAGGTGACACACTGTAACAGCCTGGGCTCTGGAAGTTTGTGAAGAGATGATGTGGGTTCCTTCCCAGAAGCGAAGCCACCCTGCATAATTCAGGTAGCTTCCTTAAGTGGACTTCAAGCCCATAATGACAGCCAGAGTTTCTGTGGGGATGGGGCTTGGATAAGATTCTTCATCTACCCTTTCCCTGGATGTGGGGGATCACCTAGCCAGGGAGCTGGGGTTGTGGTTGCTAGTGTGCCTTGTTCTTCTCTCGGTTGTCATCCCAGGTCTTCATATCTTCTGAGTTTCCCGTGTTTTCCTTGCTGAGTTCCAGTGCTCTTCCTCAGCCACTCATCTGGAAATGCAGCTATTTGCCAGTTTAGGTTCTTATTTGTTGAGGGGGAAGTGGGTGCTGAGCATCACTCTTTAGCTATCATGGAATCCTTCTTTTTTTCTAACTCTTATTTCTGACAGTGAGAGTCATGGCTCCCAATTATTCAAAATTAATTTTCTGATTTGATCACTCTTCCCCTTTTGTGACCAATCTTCCATTGCTGCTGCTGCCCATCACCCACATGGATTCCTTTCTTATTCCCCCAGGATCCAACACAGTACCAGGCAGCCCATACACAGCGACACTCCTCCCAGCTGATGGTTCTTAGTTCCCTTATTGCTCTGTAGATCTGTTTAGATGCTCCTTTCATCAACCTGAGCTGACAGAGAAATTCAGGACCCCCTCTGTAAGGTTATCTTCCTCATAGTGCTAAAGTTCTGACTTCCTACAAACCAAGGATGCCCTCCTCATCCCACTGGATATGATATGCAATACTGATATGAACTTGGACCCGTGTGAACCCACCCTCCTTTTACCAGGTTTCCTTGATGGGCACTTCTCCTAGGCTAATGCCTTGCTCACATTTTTCCCCCCCTCCCATTTACATATTTTATTTGGAAATGTTTACACAAGTACGGGGAAACTAAATTTTTGAGATAGTGGATGTTATTAAATTATCATCAGTTTATTATAAAAGACACATGGAAATTATTTACATGATGAAAGATTTCACTGCTTCAGTGGAAGGAGCAGCTTCATAGGATGCCATTTCAACCGTGATTTGTTTCTACATACTTTCCAAGAATGTCACCATCTCTAAATAAGAAACAATCCCTGTCTTCTAGAACTGCTTTGGTGCCTCCATACTCTGGGGGAAGAACTTTATCTCCAACCATCTTGCTAATGGGCTGAATCTCTCCACCCTTTCCTTTAGAACCTAATCCCACAGCTACTACTGTTGCTTGCAATACTTTTCCTTGAGATTTTTCTGGAGCCATAATGCCTCCTTTGGTTATTGTTTTGGCTGCAATTTCGAACAATACTCCGTCAAAAAGTGGAAGAAACTTTCTAAATGCATGTCTGGTCAGGACTCAAGTTGCTGCAGCTCAGACTCCGATTTGTTGCTCACCGTTCTTGATGACCTCTACCTTGGTGAGTTCCCCCTACCCTCAGTGTACACCTATACTGTGCTGACCAGCCTAATAGCTTTTAGATTGACTGTTCAAGAAAGCGAAGAAAAAGGAAAGAAAAGAAGAAATACATTTTTTTTTTTATTTTTAAAAAAGAGAGATACTATCTGTAGAAGAAAATACTCAGCCAAATCAGTAAAACATACACTCAAGTAAAACATTTACTCCAAACCTCAAGGAAACTTATGTAATTATCCAGTTGGCAAGAGACTACCTGTCTCCAAGAGGATCTGTGGCTGGTCTTGGGAGGCATGGCAGCTCTGGATGCCACATGATACCCTTATCCAGGAAGGCCATTCCTCACAGCCCACTCCCCAGAAATGGAAGATCCAGAGGTTCCAGTGTTGTTTAAAAATGCACTCCTGAGAAAAGAAGTATAGAGATTGGAGGGAAGAAATACTCAAAGCATCAATGAGAGAATTTCCCACCATCGATGAAACAGTCTGAAAGAGATTCTTCAGAATCATAGTTTAAGACGCTTGACCGACCATACCAAGATGACTGAAAACAGATGAACTCAACATGTTCTGGCAAAAAATCTCAACTGCTAAAGATGAAATAATGAAATATTTAAAGAGGAAATAAAAGCAACAGTTTCCCATCCGGGAATAAGTCAGATTGACACCCATGTTCTCAGTAGCAACAAGAGTTGCAAAGAGAGAGAGAGGAGAAACACCTTAACTTTCCAAAGAAATATGATTTTTAGCACATAATTATTAACACCCCCCAATGTTATCCAAGTAGAAGGGCAAATGAAGTACCATTTTTTTATGGTTTAAATATGAAGTGTCCCCCAAAAGCTCATGTATGAGACAATGTAAAAATAGTTTAGAGGTGAAATGATTGGGTTATGAGAGCCTTAACCTAATCAGTGGATTAATTCCCTGATAGGGATTAACTGGGTGGTAGTTGTAGGTAGGTAGGGTATGGTTGGAGGAGGTGGGTCCTGGAGGTATGCCTTTGGGGCATACATTTTGTTCTTGTTGAATGCAGTTCTCTGTGCTTTCTGGTGCCATTTCCTGAGCTGCCTTCTTCCACCACACTCTTCTGCCAAGATGTTCTACCTCACCTCATGCCCCAAGGAATGGAGCCGACCATCTATGAACTGAGACCTCTGAAACTGTGAACCCCTAAATGAACTTCTCCTCCTCTAATTGTGTAAAGAAAAACAAAAAGAGAGAGAAGCAAGCAAGGTGCAGGGACAAAGTAAAAGGAGTTGCTGGCTGAGCTGCCAGGTTTATTTATATCCATAAGTTACATTAGGTCATTGACATCATTAGAACATATTGCTCATTGTATAAAGTTACTGTTATAGGAGCAGGTTTAGGTGCAGTGACACATTGGTGTTGACTAAGAGAGTTTCTTTATTCTCAGAAGCTGAGTTTCTGAGATCAAGGTTGAGGTTGATAAGACTCTAGTACAGAGCCTCCTCATAAAGGACACTACCATAACAGCTAGGCATTGAGCATGTATTAGTCATCTCATTAGTTCTAGGGAGAAACTGCAGAATGGTCCAAGTGTGGAAAACAGGGCACCTGTTACCCTCCTGAGTTTGCTCATCAGAGGAACTCTGCCTGGTACATTTCCACAGCCAGAATCCTTATATAATCACTTGTCAAGCCTTTTGGTCACAGTGACAAAAAAACTGACTAGAACACATTTCTTATCTGTAAAAACCTGAAAAGTTTTCTCTAGTGCCCAGAAATATATACTGGCTCAGTAAATAACAGTGAAAACCTCAGAAGGAAATGACACAAAAGGAAAACATGTCTTAGTCCATTCATGCTGCTATAAGAAAATACTCCAAGCTGGGTCTTTTATAAAGAATATTTCTTGTTGATGGACCTTTATTTTATTCATTTATTTATATATGGTGCAAAGAATCAAACTCAGTACCTTACACATGTGAGGCAAGTGCTCCCACCCCTGAGCCAAAACCTCAGCGCCCCCCCCAACCTAACTCTTAATATTGCAATGGGAATCAAATTAGAGAATTTCATAGCACATACTGAGCAGAGAGGTCATAAAAATGTACTCTTTAGTCTAAGCAAGATTTTACTGTAAATTCAATATCAATTTAAAAATAATAGTTAAGATGTTAACAATATGTGAGACTGTTGTAGGAATGAGTGGAGGAAAAAGAAGTGGAGTAAGGTTCTTACCTGATTCAGGATGAGATGAGAGACCATGATTTGCTCCAGAATTTAACAGGAAGTCATAATACAAAATACACATATCAACATTGAAGTATATTGTAAAAATAAAATTAAATGCATAATTTTAATATGAGGAATTATATTTGGTTATTATGATAGATACCAACACAATGGTGGCTCAAAAAATGAGAAAATTAATTTTATCCTTGATATGATCCTAGTGTCCAAACTTTCCCATGCTTGTAAATGGATGGGACTGTTGTTCTTACAGTCTCAAAATGGCTACCAGAGTGCCTGCTATCTTGTGTATATTTCAGGAAATAAGAGGATTAGAGGTTAAGGGCGATAAGGTCATCCTGGCCCCAAGAAGCCTAGTTTTTCCAAAAGATCACTCAGTGTCTTCTGTTGACATCTCATTGGGCAGTGAGAGTCGCTTGACATCCCTAGTGGTAAATGGACTAACAAAGGTCATCTATTATTTTTTCTCCTGCTGCCTAATCTTGGCATATGCTACTCCAAATAACTATAGTTCCATTGATGAGAAAAATGGATACTGGCTAGGTAACCAGCATCCTGCCTTAACTTCTAAAATAATAAATGGAATAAAATTTTGAAGAATTCTCAATCAGTCCAATAAAAGGTAGGGAAAATGGTCAGGGAGCGGGGGTCATAGGTGGAAAAGCAAAAAAAAAAAAAAAAAAAGAAAACAATGTGGCATTGTCCAGATGTAACAGAAATTTAACAGAAATTGAAATGTATGTGAATTTTTAGTAGTTGTTTATTAAGGTAGAAATTTTCTTGGCTGCAAGCAGACACACCTGTGCTTTGTTAACAAAGGGAAAAGGGAGTTGAAAAATAAAGCAATAGGTTAAAGATCCAGTATGGAGACACTCCTACTTCTGATAATGACGTGACGATTGGGAGGAATCCTTTTGCTAAAGATAATGGGAAAAGCTGGTCAAGATGTTTAAAGTTTTTTTCTATTTGAAGGTATCAAAAAGAAAGAGTATATTAAAAAATCACTAGGCCATGATCCAAAGTAAGAAAGAAATCCTGAACTGCAAGCCTGGCATTTGGGGTTGCATCATCCAACAGATGCTTCCAGCACCTTCCCTGTCCTAGGTGTCCCTCCCAACACTTCCCCTGTCCTCCACCTTAACGACCATTGTCCCACTAACTGCACACTGACACTCCCAAGCCTGAATGGCCTCTGCCATTCCCCACACTCCCCCTACAGCCCCACACCAGCCTTGCACATTCTCACCTGCACATTCCACATGCCCTTCTCAGTGACCCCTGGGGCAGTTGCTCTGAGGAGACCAGGGCTTTAGGTTATCCCCTAGGCCCTTGTGCTCAGAATGACCTTGCTGCACCAGGTGGGGCTTCAGGGGCCAGCAGTAGGCAGAGATGGAACCCTGCTTCTATACTGGCCTCCATGACTCACTGAAATCCTGAGTGTGACCTTGGGGCTTGATGGCAAAGAAAGGTGCAGAACAAAGATATTCAAGACTGGGATGAGGCCTTGGGGTTTTCTGGCCTGCATGTATCCTGATTTCCCAGGAGGCTGAAAAATAATTGCTCTGAAGATAGGCCAGACATAGGGTATTTAGCCACAATGAGGGAGTGGAGCCTGACCCCCATCTCAATTCCACTGTCCTCATCAAAGACAATCAGAGCTCAATTTTTATTCTGTGTTTCTTCCTAATCCTCACGCTCCCCTTTTTAAAAGTTTAAAAATTCTAAACTTTTATAACTTTATTGGCTTTATAACACATGAACACAAACAGAGAGAGGGATCATACTGTTCTTTAATTCGATTTGTTTCGCTTGTTGTTTGCATGTTGTTGGATAATTTGAATCTAGGTTCCCAGGCCATGGTCGTTCATATTTAGTTCAGAATTAACCATTTTCTTTCTTTTTTTTTTTTTTTTTTTTTGGTACCAGGGATTGAACTCAGGGGTTCCTGAGCCACATCCCTAGCCCTACTTTGTATTTTATTTATAGACAGGGTCTCACTGAGTTGCTTAGTGCCTTGCTGTTGCTGAGACTGGCTTTGAACTTGCGATTCTCCTGTCTCAGCCTCCTGAGCCTCTGGGATTACAGGTGTAGACCACCACTCCGGGCTTCAGAATAAACTATTTTCTAATTTCCTCAAAGCAAAGTTGTTATTTTATGTCAAGTGAGACACATGGTTTTATTTTTTAATCTGTGAGTACCTAGGAGTGGAACTGTATGGTTTAGGGAATACATATTTAACTTTTTTTAGAAGCTGCTAAACATTTTGCACATTGGTTCTGCTGTTCCATACCTTCTACCAAAGGATGGAAGAATTTCTGCTGCTCTGGGTCCCCACCAAGATCGTTGCTGTCCATGTTTCTTATTTTACCTATTCTCTAGGATGTCTAGGGGAACCTCATTTGATTTCACTTTCAGTTATCTCATAACTAACAGTGATGGGCATCTTTTCATGTGCTTCTGAGCCATTTGTGAATCTCCTCTTGTAAAGCACCTATTAACTATTTTGTCACAAACTCTTTTGCTTCATTTTTTTTCCATTGTATGACTTAACTGAAATCCATGTTTTGAATTCCTTATTGATGGATATTTAAATTGTCTCAATTTTTTTTTCACCAGACCAAAATGATAACTTTGTACACATTTATGTCAATGAACCAGAATTTCCATGCCATGCCTTTGCAACCACATTTTAGGTGTGCAGGAAAGAATAGACACTTTCACTAAAACGGGCCCAACTATTGGAAGCCCCCGGTACATGCATCATAGGTGCTCTTATGACATCAATGCTCTCTCCCCTCCTCCACTGTGGCAGAAGGAATGCAGGCCTGAGCGTGATGAAACCATCTAGCCCCTAACCATGGGCAATTTAGAGGATCACAGACCTGAGGGAATTTGAATTATCTATCTCCAAATCATGGGCAATAAACTTTGTGTAAGATATAACCAGTTCACCCAAGTTGCAGGGAGGGGAAGGTGGATTTCCACAGTTAATCAGGATACTAGCCTTCTGTCTAGGGATACTGGGATATTGAGGAAATTGAGTGTGTGTTAGAATCGACACCCCCATTGTACACAAAGAACAGCCTGCCCACACCTCTCCCTTTTAACTGTTTACAGAAGGATGGCAACCCTTGTGAAATCGTAATTGTAAATGTTGAGCAGATCTCACCACAGAAAAAGGAAGAGGCAGAGGCAGAGGCAGAGGAAATAACACCAGAGGTAGGTGGTACAGACTTCAATAACTGAGGTGACTTCTGACCTTCCACCTCTCTAACCCATGTCACCCAGAAGTGGTGTTTATCGCTTTGAAGCTCATTGCAGAAGATGATCATGGAATTTATCCACCCAGGATATATTTGGGAGTGGAAGGTAGTACTCTTATGTATTACTCAGAACAAACAACAGAAACCCAAAATGTCCGGGTCAACGCAAAGAGTTGCCCCATTATCCAAAGCTGGAATGAATAGGAATTGAGTCTTCTTTTCCAGTTGCTTTAGCAACCTGAAGAAGGCCAATGACTGAGGCAAGCTGACTTGGTTGTGGGGAGGAGAAACCTGGAGTTGTGTGGGAGTGTATGCATGAGCACATGTGAGTGTGTGTGTGTGTGTGTGTGTGTGTGTGTGTGTGTGTTAACTGAAGACCTTTTGGTAACCAAAAGAAATGAAAGTGAGAAATAGACTAGAGAGACCCCAAACTGTGTAGTGCAAGGAAAATTTTAATATGAGGAACTAGCAGAAAGAGGAACAGGTTTCAGATTGAAGTGAAATCAGGGAAGAGAGGGCAGGTCAGAGGGTATGAAGGGGAGGTGACAGGCCCAGGTAGATAGTCAGGCTCAAGTGGATCCTGTGGATCATAAGGTTCTTGCTCCAAGACCAAGGCAAACCAGGTGATGTAACAAAGGGCAGGGGAACCCCCATTCTATAGATGGCTACTTTGAGCCTCAGAGGTCAAGATGAATATATATGTGCATTAACTGACATGGTAGAGAGAGGCAGGCAGAGGAGGACACTTGCTTGAATTTCTAGGCCCAGGTATTGCTCTGTCCAGTGCTCATTAATTTCAGAGGAAGAGGAGATTGTTGATTGACAGAGGATCAGAAGCCCTGCCTGGCACATTCTTGGCTTGAGGTTGTTGGGGAACATGTCCTAAGTGTCATTTCTTTACTTTGTATCTCCCACTCCCTCGCAAAATGAAGGAAACTTCTGACTCTACACTAGCAGCCACAAAGATCCAGGCCTGGTGGCGGGGCACCCTGGTGCGACGCACGTTGCTACATGCTGCCCTGAGAGTTTGGATCATTCAGTGTTGGTGGAGGAAGATACTGGCCAAGCTGCTGGAGAGGAGACGGCGGACGATGCTGGAGTTGAATACACGGCAAATCTGGGCCTGTGTCAAGCTGCAGGCCTGTGTTCGAATGTGGCTCATCAGACTGCGATACTGTCGTGTGCTCAATGCTGTCCGGGTCATCCAGATCTCCTGGCGCTGGCACAGTTGCCACACCCGTGGCTTTTTCCGGGGAAATTACGAGATCACAGAAAATGAGCTAAAACTTCAAATTGACATTTTTCTGGGATCACAGATTTGTCGGATCACCGATTCCATCCCCTTCCCAATAAAGAACTGACCAGGTCTGCTCCAAATATGCGTCAGTAGATCTTTGTTAGACAAGCTCCTGGAGGTCTGCATCTCAGCAAAGGGCCAGGAAAATGATGGAAGGTACAAAGCATCTTACATGGTTACTTGGGGGAATCAGCAGGGTGTGTCTGGGGTGCTTGAGTCATAAGAGGGTGAGAGCCCATGCTAGAGGAGCAGGGCCCGAGATCCATCAGCAAGGTCTGCCATAGGTGGGAGGGTTGGGGTTGCAGGGTGGCCAAGGAGACCAGCTCCAGGGAGACTCCTTCACTGTGGTCTATGCAAATGACACCCCTATAGTTGTACAGTGTGGGGGTCTCTGCCATCCTTTGCCCTTCATCCTCCAATACCTTCCCACTCAGCTTAGAATAAGTTTCAAAAGCCCTCCCTGTGGTCCACGTGACCTGGCACGTTCTGGTTCTAACCATTGCACCCTCTGCCAACAATCTCCTCCAATGCTCTGCTATCCATCAAACACCCCAAGCAGAAGATCCCAAGTGTATCCCATCTCAGAGCTTTGCACTTGCCACCTGCAGCCCTACGGTGTCCCCAAAGAAGTTTCCAAAGAATCACACCCAGGTCCACCTCTTGACTTTTGACTGACTGTAGGGTGACATCAGACTGTCAGGTCAACTCTAAGTCAACTTGGCCCAGGCTGACCAGTTCTGATTGGATTCTTAATCATACATTCTCATAGATTTTATGGTTAGGAGGAACTATCCGTACCTCCCAGAGTTTCGGGATCTGGTATCAAAAATCTCCTTCAGGGTAACTTGGGTTCCTCTTATCAACATTTTTTTGAGGGCCTGCATTTCTCCTGCAGTGAACAAGTAGTTTGCTGAGGAATGTCACATATCATGTCCACTGAGGCCAGGCAGGGCTGCAAGTAAATTGTTTATGGAAAAAATAAAGCATGTGGGCCAATTTTATAGGATTATTTTATAGAAGAATGGGCCTATTTTATAGAATTATTCTCTTAACTTTATATTCATACCTTCCTCATCTGTCTGTTCCCTAACAGGGCCAGGGCCAGGCAGAGGGCCCAACGTTGAGTGGTTCTGTCTCTTCTGACTAGCCAGTCCTAAGCTGTTGGCTCAGCCGGACTTGCCTTTTCATGGAAACACCAACCAGAACAGGCCCTGAGGTTCCTCCTCACTCCATTTGCTGCCATCTCACAAAACCTGGAGTTCCTCCTCCTCCTGAAACATTTTGGATACACAGTGACTCTCTCCATAGGATATGCAAGTGCAATAAACTGTTTGTTGAGCTGCTTCTGTGTCTTCTCTAATGGTTCACTGACCATACACGGATCGGTGTATTTGTTTGTTTGTGTGTGTGTGTGTGTGTCTCTGTCTGTCTGCTTATACCTTGTAATGTGATATTTCCCTATAATTCCCTCTTTATGTTCCTCAGTATTTTTTTCTCGGTCTTTGCCTCCCACCATGCACATTTCTTCTTTGTTCTTTTTAGATATTCATGACAGTAGAGTGTATTTTGACATATTTTTACATACTTTTTCTAATTAGAATCCCATTCTTGTAGATGTACATGATGTTGGGATTCACTGTGGTGTATTCATATATGAACATGGGAAAATTATGTCAGATTCATTCCATTGTCTTTCCTATGCCCATCCCCCTTCATTCCCCTTTATCTACTCCCCTGAACTTCTATTCCTCCCTTGCCCCTTGTTGAATGTTAGCATCTGCATATTGGTGGTGGTGGGTTTTTTTTTTTTTTTGAGATTAACTTATTTCACTTAGCACGATAGTCTCCAGATCCATCCATTTGCCAGCAAAAGTCATAAAGTCATTCTTTTTTTATGGCTGACTAATATGCAATTGTGTGTATATTCCACATTTTCTTTATCCATCTATTGAAGGGCACCTAGGTGGGTTCCATGGCTTAGCTATTGTGAATTGAGCTGCTGTGAACATTGATGTGGCTGCCTCACTGTGTGCTGATTTTAAGTTCTTTGGGTATAAAATGAAGAGTGGAATCACTGAGTCAAATGGTGGTTCCATTCCTAGTTTTTGAGGAATCTCCATACTGCTTTCCCAGAGTGGTTGCAGCAATTTGCAGTCCCACCAGCAATGCATGTGTGTACATTTCCCCATTTCCTCACATCTTCACTCACATTTGTTGTTTTTTATATTCTTGACAATTGCCATTCTGACTGGTGTGAGATAAAATCTCAGTGTAGTTTTTTTAAATATTTTATTAGTTGTTGTTGACCATTGATCTATTTATGTGCTGAGAATCGAACCCAATGCCTCACACATGCTAGGCAAGTGCTCTACCACTGAGGCACAACCCCAGACTCCTCAGTGTAATTTTAATTTGCATTTCTCTAATTGCTAGACATGTTGAACATTTTTTTCTTACATTTTTTGACCATTCGTATTTCTTCTTCTGTGAAGTGTCTGTTCAGTTCCTTTGCCCATTTATTGATTGGGTTATATGTGGTTTTTTTTTTTTGGTGTTAAGTTTTTTGAGTTCTTTATATATCCTGGTGATTAATGCTGTCTCTGAGATACAGGTGGCAAAGATTTTCTCCCATTTTGTAGGCCTTCTCTTCATGTTTTTGATTGTTTTCTTTGCTGGGAAGAAGCTTTTTTAGTTAGATACCATCCCATTTATTGATTCCTGATTCTACTTCTTGGGCTTTAGGAGTCTTTTGACAGCATATTTTATAAATGTAGTCACATGATGGCTTCGGGGATGAGCACCTGACCTAGGCCAGGCCAATGAGAGTCAATTCTGGTGCTGGGTTGGAATTACTGGGTTTGCCAACTGCAAGGATTACAGAACCAGAGCTCTGGCCTCCACATGGAAAAATCTTGCTGAGAATGGAACCAACAGAGGAAAGCAGAGCCAAGGGATAGTAGAGAGAAACTAGGTACTAAGGATTTTTTAACCCCTCAATCTAGCTGTTAAACGAGGTTTCAGTAAGGTTTTGTTTTAGACTAGTCTCCTGCATTAGACCCCAGTGCACCAGGAATCTCAGTCAAGACACAACTGGACTGGTGGGCACATGTGAGACCACCTAGAAATAAGACTCCTGAGAAAGGACAAGCCAGGACACAGAATGAGTTATTTTGATATTAGGTCACTCACCAGCCTCAAGAAAATTTCTGTATCATGAGGCACACTGTGAAAACATCACATGACCCAACCCATGTTAGCTCCCTGTCGGGCTTTTCCCTCAGCTGGGAGAGATTCAGGGTCAACATAAAAATGAGCTCTTTAATTTCTAAAGAACAAGTCCTGTGCCTTACAACCCTGTTTCATAACAACCATGATTCTGATTAATCAAATGTTTTAAACATTGTGACATTTTGACAGACTTTCCAAAATCAAATTCTTTTGACTTTAAACTTACTTTGGTGGCTAGGGATGTGGCTCAATTGGTAGGCGCTGGCCTGACATGCGTGCGGCCCGGGTTTGATCCTCAGCACCACATACAAACAAAGATGTTGTGTCCACCAAAAACTAAAAAATAAATATTAAAAAATTCTCCCCCACCCTCTCTCTCTCTTTAAAAAAAAAACTTACTTTGGAGGGTTCCAGAAGGCCCTTAAAATGTCTCAAAAGGGCTGGGCATGGTGGTGCCCACCTGTAATCCCATCGATTTAGGAGACTGAGGCAGAAGGATTGTGAGTTCAAAGCTAGCCTCAGCAACTTAATGAATCCCTGAGTAACTTAGCGAGAACCTGTCTCAAAATAAAACATAAAAAGGGCTAGGGATGTGGCTCAGTGTTTAAGCACTCCTGAGTTCAATTATTGATATAAAAAAAAGACACTAAAAATTTGTGCTAATAAAAGAGTGAGAGTAAACTAATAAGTCTTATTTTTTATGTTACTTTCTATGGGAAACATTGTCAGATAAAAAAATGATACTACATCTTAAGTTGTATTAGATGAATATATTTTTGATGTTAGTGTTCTAAAAATTATAGGAAATACCCATAAATCTGAGATGTCTTGATATGATGTTATTAGCCATATTCTAGTTTTATGTTGTGTTATTTCCCATCAATTGATTATACTGAACTCTCATCGGGTTTTTAATCATAGCCATTCTAAGTCTTGCTGCTCACAGACAATTAACTGTGTTATTCTGATGCTTTTCTGAGAGCTTTAGAAAGCAACTATAATCCTAAAGTGCTTCAGCTTCAAGGAAGCTGCTTTTCTAAATCAGGGAAAATGGGAATTACATGGAATTAAATGAACAGTTTTGTTTTTATGACTTTTTATTTGAAATTTTGCTGGTTCTTTATCTTAATGATTTGTTTTCCAGATTTAATGAAACTTCTTAATTTTAGGCTTTCTATAGCTTATAGCAATTTGGTCGAGAGTCTATTTTTGTAAATAGAATTGAAATGTTTACTTTTTATCTCTACCAGATTCCTCCAGAGTTTAAAAAGTTACTTGTGGATATTCTTGTTCTATGGCAATATAGTTAATAATAAGTTTCCATTCTCTTTATAAAAAGATACAACCGGAAATATTGGTTATATTACCAAGGCTTTGACAAAACGCCATATTTGAAAATGTGTATAGAATGCCTGTCTCCAAGTGTTCCCAACCTTACAATGAGTGAGTAAATCTGTCACTTTCTGGTAGGTCCAGGAACCTCAAGATTTTTTGAGGATCCCAGGAAGAGATGAATTTATTCAAATCTATATGTAGTGTTGAAGAAGTCTGAATTTTGCCATGGTTTGACTTTGTAAGGTTTTAATAGTTCAATCTGAGATTCTTTGTGAAAGTTTCAGCAAACTTACAGAAAGTCTGTGCGGTCAATTGCTATTCTTGTTGTACTTATACAAACAGTCATGCCACGTTTGATAAAACTGAACTTACTTTGCATGCAAATTAGCCATACTCTGATTATTTTTAGAAGTGGGGATGCATATAAAGAGAAAAATTATATTTCAGAAGATACTATAGTATACCTGTTATTATATTGTAGCCCTGTTCATTGCTTTTAAGTTTTTATAATTTATCTATAGACCAGACATGATCCTGAATTCTTCTAGTTTCCTCCAACATCTGGCTATGACTCTCCAACCAAGGACAAGAACTGCTCTGTTTCCCGAAGCCCTTAAACTGAAGCTGGACAACCAGATGTAATTTCAAGGGACAATCCTTATGCCCGATATGTGGGCCACTCAACGCATGCAATGAAATGCCCAATGCCATAATTAAGAGAGAGACAAACTGTAAAGTAGAATGGGAAGTTGATAACCTCATACTGTGGGTAACCTTTCACAAGAGGTTGCAACAAGATTACCAATCATCAGGAAACCCTTGTCTGTCTTAATTTTTTCCTTGCTTATGCCTGCATCTTTTGCTCAATGGGATTATGCCATAATTAGAACTTCATAATCAGTAGTCTCTCCAAGTAACTTGAAATTTTAGATCCGTCATGACAAACTCAAATCTTTACATCTACTCCACCCAGTGGCCAACTTCGGCAGCACCCCTGATGCTGCTGTTCAGACTATCTTAGTGGTCCTATCTGGAGTCAGGCTTAAAGATTCACATGTTCTCTTTCCCTGTTTCAATTTAACCCCTTTATAATGCACTGTATTATAAAATTACTACCTGCTGGCTGAAGAAGGAAGAAAATGTGCAGTTACTAACACTTCTTATTGCCCATAGATAAGTGGATTCAGTTGGAAAGAAGGAAGGAAAGAAGGATGGAAAGAAGAAAGGAAGATGTGAGCCTAGATGTCTGACTCTTAAAAAGACCACTAACACAGTCTGAACAGTTGGCATCAGAATTGTTGCTAAAGTTAGCCATTGGGTGGGGTAGAGACCTCTGAGATGGTATAAAGATTTGAGTTTGTCATGACAGATCCAGCACTTCACCAAATTATTTGGAAAGACGATTGAATGAAATTCTAATTATACAAGAATCCTATCAAGCAAAAGATGTAGATGTAAGAAAGTAAAAATTAAGAGAAGCAGGAGTTTCATTATGATGGGTAGCCTTGTTCCAACCTCTTGGAGTGCTTGGAGAAAGTGGGTAGAGATTCCTAGTTTGGCTCATTCTCTGATTTGGTTGATTCTAGTTGGTTTGGCTCATGAGGACCCTGGCTAAGAAGCAAATTCTTGACAAGAAGGTTTCCTAGGCGATTCTTGACATTAAATGTGCCACTGCCTCTCAGATCAGAATATTCTCCTAATACTGAATAGTGGAAAAGGAAAGTGCTGTGGATTAACAAACAAATCAGCTAATCGTCTAGAATCAGAATGGACTGAATGTG